CACGGGTGGAGAACTTAAATCTATCATAAAAATCGAGCATTTGAAGACCCAGACCCATCATCACAATATGGGGCTTGCGGACTCGGGACTATTATCAGAATATAAGGCTTAAGAACCTAGGACTATCATCAGAGTATAGGTCTTGAAGGCCTAGAACTATCATCAAAATATAGGACTTAAGGACTCAAGGGTATTGTCATAAAATAAGTCTTGAGGACCCAAGCATGTTGCCATTATATAGGACTTGCGGATCGTGGGATCCGGGATACGTACAACCCATCGGGGATACAGAGGATCCCTGCGATCCACAATCCGCTTTTTCTCCCTTGTAAAAAAAGACTTCTATTAAAAAGATACTGTCATTTTATTCCTCACATTAATGAGCGCACGAAAATTTTAAACTTAAACTAAAGCAAATTTACTTTAAGATAGATTCTTCTCTGCTGTTTTTCTTTTCTTTTATTGCTTTCCAAAAATGATTTCATTATCACCATGTTCATATCGGACTGTGCAGAAGCGAAACAATATACTCAGTTATGTGAACATGGATGATATTATAGCGTCTCTACCTATTTTTCTATTGGAGGAGACATGAAAATTACGTTTAATGGAAAAATTTTCTTTCTTTTAATCATGAAAGCACAAAACTTTTTGTAAAAAACATCGTGTAAAAACGCAAATCATCGTGTACAGTATATACACCCTATTTTTTTTCAGGGCGTAAAATAGGGTGTAAATCCTATTTTATTAGGGTACCGTACATTTTGTTTTGCTGGGTACACTCTTCAATTAAAAACACTGATGTGAACGTATTTATAGATCATTAATTATGCAGTTCATGTACTAGTGTCATCTATCTAAAATATTATAGTGTTATCGTAGTTGTATTTGCAATTAAAAATTTTCAAATAATGATTTAAAAAATGAGAGAATCATTAATCTTTGATAATTTTTTCTCTAATTAAAAATATATGATTGGTGGGATTGTTGAACATCCTGTCCTGACGTGGTAATGCTGGCAAACATTCTGATCTAACAGACAACTTGTGTCAATTCCTCACCGACTTCTTTTCCAGCAATACTGACACCCATGCAATACATTCTAAGTTTTCTCACTTTTTCAATAGTTTTTATTGCATATACACAGTCAATCAGTTTCAATCTACCGATTAACACTAGAAAATGTTTAAAAGAAGAGATTCACAAAGTATGCTATTTAATTCTTTTCACATAATTGCACTTTGACAAACATTTGCATCTAATTAAGGATACGATGGTGACTGGTGATTATGATATAACTGTTCGACCTGGTTTACCTACTCATGTTGAAGTCAAGGATACTAAAGGACATACATTATTTAATAAAGAAGATGCTACTAAGGGAAAATTTGCGTTTACAACAGAAGAATTCGATATATTCGATATCTGTTTTGAAACTAAAACACCACATGGTCAACAACAACATCTATCTCCCCATCATACAACAAAAGAAGTAACATTTACAATAAAACATGGTGTTGAAACAAAAGATTATGATGCATTAGCTAAAGCTAATAAATTGAAACCATTAGAAGTTGAATTAAATCGTTTAGAAGATTTGTCAACTGCTATTGTATCGGACTTTGCTTATATGAAAGAACGTGAAGAAGAAATGCGCAATACAAACGAATCAACGAATAATAAAGTTCTTTATTTTTCCATTTTTTCAATGGGTTGTCTCATGAGTTTAGCCATATGGCAAGTACTCTATTTACGACGATATTTTAAAGCTAAAAAGCTTATTGATTAAATTTATTATTATCTCAGTACTCAGTAGAAAGCTGCACTATTCTGTTTAACATTGTTTTCTGTTCACTTTTCTTTTTGTTGTTTTCTTTTTCTAGTCGTGCTAACTAAAATCATTATTTGAAGAACTAGGCACTATTTTTATTTATGACGTTTAATCTGATGTATTTAACTTTTATTGTAGAATGCGTTCTATTCTGATACTAGCTTGCACCTGCTTCTTAGCATTGGCTGTTGACGATTTTGTTATGCCGGGTAGCGGTGATAGTATATTATCCGGTCCAAATGTTGTCGTTGATTTAGGTCAAGATAATTTTACACAATTCATTCAACAACATTCAGTCGTAGTTGCTGAATTCTATGCGCCATGGTAAATATCATGAATTGCTTTTTTTTTTGAAAATTATATTGAGAAAGTACAGAACTTCTCTAACTAATCGATCATACTTGTAAATTTTTATAGAGAGAAACTTGTTAAGAATATTTTATATGAGAAATTTTAAAGTATTTTGATTAGCGTCGATCTTATTCTAGTTAGATTCGAAATGTAATCCAGTAGGGTCTAGTTTCTCTGTAGAAATATCTTTCTGCTGTCTTAGACGTGACACATAGTCGTTTTACTTATGTTTACTTTTGATTTAATCTTTAGGTGTCATCATTGTAAGCAATTAACTCCACACTATGAAGAAGCTGCACGTTTACTGAAAGATAGTGAAAATCCAGTAGCTTTTGCTAAAATCGATGCTACAGTTGAACAAACATTAGCACAAGAATATTCTATTCAAGGTTATCCAACATTAAAAATCTTTCATAAAAATAGTCCAAAACCAATTGATTATGATGGTCCTCGTCAGTCAGGTCCAGCGATTGCTGATTATATGAAAGAGTTTGCTGATCCTAGTTGGACACCTCCACCATCGGATGTTGCTGTTCTTACTGCTGAAAATTTTTCAGACTTTATTTCGAATCAAGAATTAGCATTAGTTGAATTTTATGCTCCATGGTGTGGCCATTGTAAACGTCTTGAACCGAAATTTGAAAAAGCAGCTACATTATTAAAAAAAGATACTAACATTCGCTTAGCAAAAATTGATGCTACGACTCATGCTGATTTAGCTAGTAGTCATAATGTTACTGGGTATGACATCGAATAAGATTGTTTTTTTAATTTCAATAGATTTCTTTAGATATCCAACTTTATTCGTCTATCGCAAGGGTAGTAAACGAATAGTCTATGATGGTGAGCAGACTGAAGATGGAATTGTGACATATATGAAAGAATTGTTATCGTTACCAAGTCGTGAAATACGAAATGTTAATGATTATAAGAGTTTATTTCGAAAGAATGATCAACCAATTATAATTGGTGTTTTTCAAAATGAACAAGATGCTTTATTTCAATTATTTATTGATTATGCATATAAAACACGAAAGATTTTTCAATTTGGACACACATTTGAAAAACTATCAACTTTAAGCGATGTTCAAGCACCAGCCATTGTTCTTCAACATCACACTGATGTTCGATCGAAATATGAAAAAGAAAAATTTATTTTTAATAAAGTCAGTTAGAATAAATAAGATATTCAAATATAAATTATTATATTTCCTTTTAGGATAATGCAGTTGACAGTGATATTGAACAATTTGTTGCACAAAATCAAATACCATTAGTCGGTATAATAACACAAGAGAATCAGCAAAATATTTATTTATCACGACGTCCAATATGTATTGTTATCTATGATCTTGATTTTTCATTTGATCATCGTGAACGAACACAATATTGGAGAACTAAAATACTTAAAGTTGCTAATAACTTTAAAAGCAAATGTACATTTGCTATAGCTGATGAAGCAAAAATGTCATCGCTATTAAAAGAATTTGGTCTTGAAGACTCAGGTGAAGATGTAAATGTTGGTTGCTATGATATGAAAGGTTTAAAATATCGTATGGAAGATAATGATGAATTTACATCGGAATCATTTGAAAATTTTGTTGATCGATTGGATAAAGGCAAAATTAAACCATATTTTAAGTCGCAACCAATACCAAAACAAGCAATTGTTAATGGAATACATACAGTTGTTGGAAAAAATTTTGATAAAATTGTTAATGATAATAAAAAACATGTTGTTATCTTTTTCTATGCACCATGGTAGGATATTCTCACACCTCGTACTTTGACTAGTAAGAGAAAATACACATCTGTCGGACGTTGTTCTACTCGACAGTATGCTTTCAACCAGGCCTTGTTGAAAAATAGAACGAACTCAAATTCAAGGTCTATTACATAATAGAGAATCTTGAGAGTTAAATTAAATGTTTTTCTATAGGGACCTTGCGTATTCATCAAAGCATTAACAAAATGTATATCTCTCTCTGTCTCGCGAAATATACAATACCTGAAAACAAAAGTAGTATATGATAATAAGAGGATAACATATCATTGAGTCCCTCGTCAAAGCTATCGAACTTGTTTTTAGCAATGACAAACTTCATGTAGGCAATGACATAATTGCGTAAGCATAGTATGAAATCAAACAACGTCCGACAGTTACAAACATATCTTGATGAGTTATGCGAGAAGTTTTTTCTTAACTGTTAATTTTTACATCTCTATTTTCTATGTATCATTGTTTTTTTCTATTATAGGTGTGGACATTGTAATGATTTCAAACCAACATACAGTAAACTTGCTCAAAGTTATGCTGGTCAATCAAATCTCATTTTAGCTCAGATGGATGCTACAGCGAACGATATTCCTCAAGGTTTCGAAGTCACTGGTTATCCAACGATTTTTATTGTACCAACCAATAATAAACCGGTGAAATATGAAGGAAATCGAGACATCAACGATTTAGTTAACTTTATTAATAAAAATATAGGATCAAAAACGGAACTTTAAAGAATCATGGTCAATTAAACATTTTCTTTTATCATTCCGTAGTTTATTATTGTTTGTTCTGTAATTTATTTATTTATTCGCAGTGTTTTGTTTTGTTTTCTGTTACCACTGGTGCTTTGCTTTTGCTTGAACATCGAAAAAATTCATCTATTCTTTGTTTTCATTGTAAATGAATTGGGGAAAATTAGAAATATGCTATTGTTAAGTTATAATATCATTATTCAAGTAAGATCATTGGGCTACATATGTAACTTAACTGTTTTTTTATTGTTAACTTATCTCACTGAATAATTATAATTAACGAATTATCTGTATTTCTAGATGACTTTTCAGACTTTAGTTTTCATTTATGGCTGATTTTTCAGCTCGATATTAAGTTTATGTTCGAATCCTCCGAACTATTATAAAAAAAAACTGACAATTTTGTATATAAATGAAATTGATCTTGTTAGTTCAAAGAATATTCACTATTGAAGGTCGCATAGTATCAGTTAGAGAGGCTCGTTAAATAAATGAATACCCTGATTGACAAAGGAAAGTATTTCAAAATTTGATTTATTCATTACATGTACGGATCAAACTATTGAAAAATTTAACGTACTTATAGTCAATGTCATTTGCCTATAATTCAATGTTTCTGAAGTATTTATTTGTTTATGTTTGTCATGGTTGAATAGAGCTCGACAGAGTAACCTTGAAGACAAACGATATCGGACATATTCAAAATAAATTTTACAACAATCAGAATTTTCTATTAATTGTCCTTGTATCGTCAATATTCATGATATTTTAGACTTTTCTTTTTGTGAATTTGCACTTGAGTATATGTGCTACTGTTTTCGTTTCAAGGCGATTCGTCGAACTCTATTCATCCATGGCGGAAAAAGAAATACTGTTGAAATATTTACCTATGAGCACATTTCACAGAGTGTAAACAGCTTGAAATAGAAATACTTTGATCATATGTATTAAGAACAATAATTTTCATCATAGTCAATTTGATGACAGCCCAGTGAAAAATATTCGTTGATTTCAATCAAATTATTGTGCAGCAGAATCCAATCCGATTGCGGATTGATTATTTCGATTTTAATCGATCACCATTTAACCCAAACGTGATGTTATTGCTAGCCCAGTGGAAATTAGTTTGATTAAAATCTGATTGTTCTGTAGCACAATTCGAATTATCAATCGCTTGACAATAAGGATTTTACTGAAAAATAATCCGATTTCAATCAAACTAATTTTCGCCGGGCTAGTCATAGCATTAAATTTGGGTTTAATGGTGATAGATTAAAATCAAAATTATCAATCGGATTGCGGATTGGATTTTGTTGCGCAATAATTTGATTGAAATCAGCGAATATTTTTCACTGGGTAGACAGGATAATTATTTCGCATAAGATCCTTTTCGCTTAAAGTGCACGACCTTCGTTTCGCTAGTTAAAAACGGAATCAGTTTTATCTGAAATTAAACGAACTTTTCTAGTAGTATCACTTTCATATTTTGCACATCTCATATATGTGTCATGGTACTTGTTATCACAAGAGATAATGGTATACCTTTTATTAACTTCTTTCTCTCAAACAACGCATGCATATTAACAATCTTTTTATGGCATGTGCTACATTTTAAAAAATTATTGTCATGTGGATAATATTTTTGTTATGCTAATAATTGATTTCTTATACATGATGAACACAGAATAGAATTTATATATATAGCAATATTTTTCATAGAATTCTTTATGAATATTTAATAGAAACGCTAGTTGCTTTTGACGCCCAAAAATATCAATCAGTCATTTTATTTTTGTTTGTGGCTACTAGAGCTTAGAAATTTTTTGATTAGTATATATTCGTATAGACTGTTATTTTGAATAGTATTTAACGGTTAGAACATGTCGAAATTCTTTTCGTGATACTTTCATTTGTTCTATTAGGTAGTATTTGGATTATGATCATCTGATCACAACGAACTCACAAGGCTGCTATTTCTTTGATAATGTCATTAAAAAGACTCGTGTGAATGTCATAGAGCAGAAACTGTCGAATTAGAAATGAGTAAAGGAATGCTATGTTTATGATTCGTCAAAATAGAAATGAGTCATACTGATACGTCATATTTATAGATATATAGCTATGTCGATTATTATTTATTTCATTTGAGTGAACAATAATGGCAAACAAATCCTTTCAAGTTGCTCTTGAAGCAGCAACAAATGAAAACAATACTGAAGAAAATTGGGATCGAATATTAGGTAAGAATAAAAACAAAATAATACCTCCACTATTATAATTATCGATTTCAGAGGTTTGTGATTATGTTAAAAATGGTCAAATAAAACCAAATGAACTTCTTGAGCAAATCACAAAAAGACTTAAACAAACTCGACGAACTAAATTACAAATGAATACATTAATATTATTTGATGCAGCTGTTAAGAATTGTGGTCAAACATTTCATCAATTATTTACATCACGTGCAACAATGAATGTACTCGTTGAAATTATTGATGATACGCGAACAGAAAATATTGTACGTAATCGTATAGGTTCGTTGTTAAAACAATGGATGGAAGATCCAGAATTTAAAGACAAAGCACAATATGCTATGCTTGGTGCTACCTACAAGAAATTAACAATAGAAAAAGGTTATACATTTGTTGATGGTTCTAATAGCATATCAATATCGGCAGCTGCTGCACCAGCACCATCGGCAGCTGGGCGTAGAACTCAAGATGATTTGTTAGCTAAACGAGAAGAAGAAGAGTTTGCTAAAGCTAGTAAGTTTTTGTAATGAAATTTTTATTTGATGATTATTTTTTTGTTTTTCAGTTGCTCTATCGATGCAAGAAGCAAATCAATCTAAATCTCAACAACCAGTTTCAAATTCTCTTTATCCATCAATGCAACAATCCAATGGAACAAATGTGACAGCAACAACAACAATGAGTGGAAGTGAAAAGAAAGCAAAAGCATTATATGATTTCGAAGCAGCTGAGGATAATGAAGTGACATTTAAAGCCGGTGATATTCTAACAATTACCGACGATAGTGACCAACATTGGTGGAAAGGTATTAATAATGGAGTTGAAGGTTTATTTCCAGCTAATTTTGTTACGAAAAATCTTCAACAACAAATCGATATGCCTACTCAATCAAATGGAGCCAACAATAAAACGGCTAATGTAAGAATAACAAAAAGTCGATTAGTCAATTCACTTATTGAATCTTTCATTTTCTAGGAATTAAATCAAAAGCAACAACGTCAGAATGAAATTGTTAAAGATCAAGTTGTTATTGATGAACGTCTTATTGATCGTTGTTTAGCTATGTTGCAAAATGCTGATCCGACCGGTGAAATCGAAGCTGATTCAAATGAAATGCTTATGCTTGAAGACACATGTTACGCAATGGGTCCACTTATTGATCATGAACTTGAAAAAGTCGATCGTAAACACGTACAATTAGAAGAATTAAATAAAAATTTACGTGAAGCTATGGAATTATATCATCGTCTTATGGAAGAAGGTCGTATTCGAGCAGCACAAGTTAAAACAAATGCAGCACAACTTGCTAATCAAATGTATCAACAACAACAATCACAAATTCCACCTCAACCATATTATCAAGTTCATCCAGGTTTACAAACACAACCAGCCATACCTCAACAGCAGCAAGTAATTATGTATCAAAATCCACAACTATATAATCAATTACCACCACAAACACAACAATCAATGCCGTATATTCCACAACAGCCAGCAGGGGCATACTATGTTGATCCTAATTTACAACAACAACAACAACAACAACAACATATGATGTATTCCATGCCACCGAATATGATCAATACTCTTCAACAACAGCAGCAGCAGCAGCAGCAACCAACTGCTCATAGTGAAGCTCAATAATTTAATTACGTTCGATCTGTAAATTTTTATTCCTCGATTTAAATACACACATCTACCTCGATTTCATTTCTTTTTTCAATTGTATCGTTTCGTTTTTTTTTCAATGAATTATACGATCATCGTGTACCAAAACAAAAACACTATATATATATATGTATGTTCTGTTCTTGTCGTTCATTCAATATCATTTGTTTATTTAATATAAAAAAAAGACAGCTTAAAATTCGAAATTAATCGCAAACAAAATCTTTTTTTTTCTCATCCTTTCTGGTATTGTTATAGAAAAATAATTTTGACCTCATCTATTAGCTAAACTTCTATGTGTAATCATGTTTTTTTAATTTCTTTTCTATCAAGAATTCTTTGCAACACTTTGCTGTTAGTTGAGAGAACAGAAAAAAGAAAAAAAAATGAGGCAAATAAGCACGTAACATTTTATAACCTAAAAGAACAATATATATCAAGCTTCACTACGTATCTTTACGCCAACGTTTGATCATCTTTTATGAATGCAAGCAGTTCCTAAAGAAAGACGTCGAACAGTTCAAGGTAAGTCATTTGAACAGTATTCTAATTAAAGAATGCATCCGATATTGACATGAAAATGTTTGAAAAAGTTTCAAATAAACAAATCAATTCAATTTACTCACATGGAAGAAATTGGCGTAGTTTACTTTTTTCTGTGGTGGGGCTCTGAGCTTCCGATCGGGTGCTAACGCAAAAACGATCTGCAAATAGACTCTGACAGGATCGAGTGAAACATCATATAGTAATACTAGATTACAGATCGATTAACATGCCGTTTCTAATGATTGGAATGAATGCTGTAGGATAGTTGCCATGGAATCATAACTGTGTTGTATAAATAACATATAACTGATGTACTTCTGCTATACTAATATCACTATAGAAACCAACAGTATGCAAGAAAGTGTGACAAAAAACAAAAATGTAGTTATAAGTAATCAACAATTTCCAACTGACCCATTTAAATTAAATGAAAGTTGATTATCGATTTCTTTTTATCATAAAAATCTAAAATCTCAGTTGCGTTTAGTAGTCAAATGAGAGCTTAACAATACGAGAGAGCGAAAGTTTATACTAACATTGAATCGCTGATTAGCGTAACGATGGATACTATCTACAAAAATAAATAATTTTTTCTTGGATGTTATTTTAGTTGTTTCCTTATCGGAACCAGCTTCGTCTTCGATCAAAGAACCAAAATTAACAAAAGATATCCCAGGTTTATTTTTAAATCTTCGTGATATTCTTTTACAAAAAACACTAAATGAAGATGAAATCAATTTCAATATATCTCGATGTGCTGAATCGATTCGAATTAAATTTCTAGAACTTACTACTCTTGCTCAACCTACAGAAATATTTGATGTACTGCAAGCAACATTAAAAATTTATGTTAATCAGATACTTTCAATCGATCAATGTCGTTATATTTTTTCTAATCAATCATTTAAAGAAACATTTTCTTCTTTACTCTCTATTCAACAAACACTTGATCTTGATTCTACATTTGAAAATAATCCTGATTATGCTCGCACTGTTTTTTATCGTTCATTTGATTTATTATCATCACCTTCGATAATCGATTTTCTTAATGATAAATATCCGGACGAAATTTCTCCATATGTGTCAATTATTTTCCGTGCAATTATTGGCTATATTTGGTGGATTATTCAATATATTGTATTTAAAAAAGATGATATGCAAAATCAAGTACCAATCGTTCGTTTACTTTTGGAATACATTGATCGAAAAAAACAGCGTTGGAATGAGACTGAAATCCATGATATATTAACTTATATTCTGGGATTTATATGTACATTAGCTAATGAAACAATATTAATTCCAAATATGATCGAAGCTAAATGTTCAGATTATATTTTAAAATGGATTTCAGTGGAAGATTTACAATTAGAATTTAAACGACTATCTTTACACATATTACATAACATTGCGCGTCATGAAAAAGGTGTTGATGCATTGAATAGTTCTAATTGTATCAGTATTCTTAAAGAATTTCAGCAACGAGTAATTAAACCAAATCAAGATAATAATGATGCACTATTTGCGGATATACAATTAGTCTATTGTATGGCTTTCTCATTAGTAAGTGAACCAAGAGAAAATCAAGAAGATTTGAATAGTCTCCGTAAAATTCTTGATCAACTTATGCAAGCAGCAGTTGATTGTGGGCAATCGGCAAATAATAAATCGAACGGATTTCATGTGAGTGAGCCGATTGTTGTCTTAACTAAACTTTGTGTACATGATGATATATTAAAATATATTTTAACTGAATCATCTGTTGAAAATCTGAAAGCTAAATCTCGAATGCAATTTTTTTGTGAATTACTATTTAAATTTCGTGGAGCACTAGCCAGTGACAATGATCTTGATCAATTATCGTTAACAGCTCTATTTAATATTATATGGAGTATATCATTTCATACGGAATATATTGAAGAATTGAAAGCCAATTCGAAATTTTTAATGACAGTTAAAAGTTTAGCAAATGATGATGGAGAAGATTTGGTTGATCAATATGTTCCTAAAAATATGGCATCAATATCAAAAGCAGCAAATGGGATATTATGGAATCTCGATGAAAATAATCCAGGTATTAATAAGAATAAATCAATCATTAGTTTATTAGTCTTACGATTTTAGCTCGAGCTCCTCGAACAACAACAGTACCAAGCGAGAGTAAACCTCTTGGAAAAGATACCAGCATGCCTGATCGAATGCGTGTAATGGTTAGTTATGCACATGCTGATAGCGACTTTTGTCATCAACTCGTTGATGCACTTCAAAAAGGTGAATAGAATTTCATGATTTAATATTCAATGATCAGATCATTGAATATTGCAGAGAAAGATTGCTTTCACAAAACTTACTATCGAGATTTCTTTCAGCATATAAAATAGAACTAGTTTTTTTTATCAAAAGGAAAAAAAATGTTTTTATCGATATTGCACGCATGTTTTGTACCAACCTGGTGAGCTCTCTGATAGAGTATGCACTAAAGATACCCAAGTTAATCTTGTATGTCCTTAATTTCTATTACGATTTGGAAAAAATATCGGAGTCTCTGTTCTCATTGTTGAAAAGAGTTTAGCGAGCCGGCTTAGAAATAAATAAAGCTACACATCGAAATTATTGACACAATTCAAGAGTTTGTTTTGGTCAAATTTATGAGTTTTAGGCATGAAATACTGACTATTGTAAAATCACTCCTATGTATATCTGATCTTGCATTTTGTGAAGGTTAATTGCTAAGTACAATTCAACCATGCCGAATACTGAAAAATTAATACTATGAAAATACTGAAGTGCGAGTACATAATATCGACTGTAAATACTTTGGATTTTATCTATCTCGATCGATGAATACTAGCAGTAGAGCATATTATTTCAAAAACAAAAAAACGTTAGATCGACAATGAAAATAAAATGAATTATCTAGTGAACTATGAGCAGTATCTATTACTTATAAATTGGCAGTTGTTTTTACAATGTGAGTTATGAACTGTAGTTTGCTTTGATGAAAAAAATATTTACAAGACTCAGTCTCCCACACTAATAGATAAGGTTGGAATTTATTAAAGATATAATCGTGTATGATTTACTTGAATGCATATCTCTAACCGAGAAAATGCTTCTGTCAAAATATGATTACGTTTTGATATGCTATAGAAAATAAAAATCTTCAAAAAAATTTCTATTTTACAGATACTCGTCTGCAAATTTGGGTAGATTTTGAATATTGTCATACGGGAGATTTATGGGAAGAAATAGCTCTAGCTATTGAAGAATCTAGGGTTATCATTTTTCTGATGTCAAAAGATTATCAAGATAGTCAATCTTGTCGACAAGAAGTGATGTATACTAAAGATTCACAAAAGAAGCGTTTTATTCCTGTCTATATCAAAAAAGATTTTGTAGCAACAGGTTGGTTAGGTGTACGTATTGTTGGTCCACAATATATACGTTTTGGAAAACACTCATTTGATGATACAGCGAAAGAACTTATTAAACTCATCATTGAAGATGAAATTCAACAAGAATCAAATAAGAATAAACAAACTGATCAATCGTCTAAACCTTCTCCACCAATTGATAAGAAACCAGTTGACAATACAGATAATCAAGTAAAACCTACGGAAAATAATCATGCAAACTCTGCTCAAACACCTCTAAAGAAACCAATAGAACAATGGAAGAGAAAAGATATTATACAGTGGTTTGATGATAATCATATTCATCAAGAATTAGCTGATTTATATGATTTTCAATGTGGTACAGATCTTCTTCTCTATGGACAATGTCTACGGCCGGACTGGCAAATTGAATATCAAGCCATAAGTGAAAGATATGAACTGAAAAATAAGAAAAAATTATATCGCGATCAATTTGTTATATTAGTTGGTGCTATTAATCGATTGCAGCCTTCAAATTCAAAATTATGTAATATCTCCTAGAACCAATTTCGTTTGTTTTTAGTTAATAAAATTCTCTTAATACACAAAAACAAAAAAAACAACAATAAAATGAAAAATGTCTATAACATGAAAATAAAACAAAAATTCACTGTTTCAATTATACTTCAAAATACCCTATCACACCCTCACCTCAATCGATTCCATCGTCTACCATCACGCCTTTCACTGTATGAGTTTTAATACATACATGTAAATGGTCGAAAAGAATTTCTAAACGTCGATCTAGTGCTGCAACATGTTCGTCTATGAGAATTTTCTGTAGTTTTTCTCCGTTTTCCAATGAGCGAGTAACTAATGTTGAAAGACCTTGACGGTAAACACGATGTAAACGAGCAAATGTTGAGTAACGAAAAAGGCAACATTGACGAATAGGTGCTAATATTGTTAATTCATCATGATCGTATCGACCAAAACTTCGGCCATTATCCAAATGGATTAAAGCTGTGTTCGCCCCAAACGAACCAATACGCATCATATGATGACGATCCATATTTCCTACAAGGAAAAAACAATTCAATAAAGTTACACGGTTCATTTCCTTTTATAATTTAAGTTTCATATTTTTTATGTCTCATGAGACAGCAGCGTATTAACAAACCTCAATACATAATAGTGATGAATTTATTCTATCGGAATGAAGACGTCATTTGTCATTAATCATTGTATAGGTTTTACATTAAAATTAAAATTAAAAGAGCTCGCCTACTTAAAAATAGATCAGTCAAACACTAAAGCAAAAAAAAAACGTTCTATTCTATACGATGAAGGCAAAGAAAATAAACTTAATAGCATTCGAGTTCTATCGGGACTGTATAGAAAAGTTCTATTAAAAGCATTCAACAAAGAAAAGTCATTTACCAATAAGAAAGTCATAGGCTGATAAATCCATCATATCAAGTAGTAGACGACTATGGAATTCTTCGTCTAGAATAAGAATAGAAAAGTATGATTAATCGTTAAAAACAAAGACAAACAATAGAGAATTGAGCTTACCCAAAAAAACATGATCATAACAATAGTTTTCATCTGACTCCCATTTAGCTTTTCTTACAGCACTATATGAACGACGATATGGATGAGTAATTTTATCCCAATCAATTTCGGGTGGTCTTGGTAAAAGAACTTGAACCGAACCTTCGAGTCTATTGCCTGGCTTACCACAAACGGCATGAGATGTATCACAATAGTATGAGCAGTGACCGCGAAAACAAGTGTTATTTGCTAGAATTTTCGCAATAATTACAAATAGAATTTTGTTTTATTTTACCAGGCGAAGTAAAAAATGTTTTTGCTAATTCTTCTGTTGCTGTTTCACGAATATCTCGAGTTATATCAACTAATCGCCCGATAACCGGTGGAACACGATAAAAACCAAGAATTCTAATAAATGAAACAAAATTCTAATGACTGACGATAACAAGTATTATAATTAGTTTTACCTGTCTACATGAAAAGCAGCTATTTCAGCATGATGTCTTTCAACATCGCTGAAGTAAAAATGATCTGGTAGTGTTTGATAATTACGCGGTACTCTGCCAGTTGAAAGTAAATAAATAACAAAAACTAATAGAACAGAAATAAAATATTCACCTATACGGCTTAAATAGGGCTTCGAAACCATCTGGCAGATCTAGAATAATTTTAATCTGTGTGCCTTGCGACATTTCACCTGAAGATGAGAAAAACAAAAACAAAGTTATAAGCTAAAAAAAAACTTTCTCAATATTTCTCACTTGCTTCAATAACTTCACCATTCTGTAAATGATTTAGGAGACGTTTTAATTCCATACTGTGTGGATCGTAAACACGTAGATTAGTTGCTTTTGTCATACAGGCGTACCATGATGTGTTTAATCGTCTAAAAGGAATAAAAGATATTATTATTTTTGTGAAAAATTATAAAGTGACTATTAAAAACATATAGTGTTTCTTGAATATTAAATTCATTTCTACCATAGTTTATAGATGAAAAAACAATGCTCATCAATAATTGATAAGTAATTAAAAGAACCCATTTCAATATTCTACTAATTCTATGAATAAATATCTTCGGATATAATATGTTTGTGTAGATAACACAACTAAGAAAAGAATTGAAATTGTAGGGAAAATGTTCATTTACTATTCAGCGATGAGCACTACAGTATTTTTCTTTGCTCGTAAATTAATCCTATTTCATCATATGCTGAGAAGGAAATTTTGAAAGTTTTTTCTCTTAATAATATCTAGTTCACTATCGAAGACAATCATCGATTTCGTTTCATGTCACATGTAACACATGTGTTTTATTTCTATGTTTTTCGAACAGTAATCATTTATTTATAGAAATCAAGCACACAAAATGAATACTTGAAGCAAAATCACTTTCTCGTTAGATTCATGAAAGAAATACTCCTTGAGGGAAAATTGAAGAACGTCATAGTCGTGATTTAGTACTCGGCAAAAGAAAATTGAATGCATGATGAGCAATTAGCCTTCTACGAAATAAAATATCTATGCGTGCATGTATCGTACATAATTAAATTGGGTCTTGTAAATTGCTTATTAATTATGTATAGCATCGTCTACATACATACATACATATATAGATATAAAGAAAGAGAGACAGTACGAGTCATAAGAGCACAGGTTCATTTTTATCACCATTCACAATCACTGAAGACATTCTCAAATATTAGTTTTCTTCTATTACATGAAAATGGTATTGACTAATATTCGGAAATAAAACTGCGATAGTATCATATAACAGAAAATTTTATCTTGGCATCGAAGCCTTTTTCAGAAAGAAATGAAAATTAACAATTCAAACTTCATTATTTAAAGCATATTTTCTTTTATCTAATCATTAGACGAATTCAATTGGAAAAATTCTCACTATTAACTTGCATTTTTACTGAACAGCATTTTCTAAGAAATTTTGAAGAGAGAAACGTTTCTTTTTATAGAATAGATATTGCACAGCTGCAAATAATTGATTTCGATTCATAGAAATATAAAAACCGTTTAATTTATCTTAGAAAAAAAGAACAAAAGAAAATACTCACGATGGCTCTTCTTGAAGAATTTCATCATGCATAAGGTCTGCTATGGTCACAATTTTATCATTTTCGTGTTCTTTTTTCCATTTATGTAGTAATTGATGTATATAATGTCTTAATTGGATTTTATCATATTCATTAACAGTTTTTTCTATTGTTGTTAAATCAGGTAGAGAATTTATCGGTGTTGTTTTAGTTGAGTTCGTATTTGAATCATTTGCTTCATCATGTGCATCGGAATCTTTTTTATTTTCATCTTCTTTTTCCCGTGCTACTCGTTCGTCAATTAATTTTTGAAAATTCCATCCTGGATCAATAGGATATAACTTTTTTATGCTGACTGAATGAGTTTGATCGGTACGTGCATTGCGTATCAATTGAAAGAGTTCTTCAATACGTTGTCGAGTAATATTTGACGACTGTTTGGGTTCTTTACTAGCTGAGGGTGCATATAAATCATATATATTTTGATGATCAAGAGCTGACCAAAATGGGACAGCACCGGGTGGTAATGGTGCGTCTCGTAGTTGTTCTTGTCGTTCAAATTCATTCGTCGTCCATATTAATGTATACAATGTAATTACACTGAAGATAATTAACATTGTCGCGATGCAAAGAATTGAAGAACGTAATCGAAGACGTATCTGCCGCATTCATCTATTACAGACGAACGACAATGTTTCGATGGATCTATTTTTTCTTGGCGATGAAAAAAAATTACGATCTAAATACGTTCCTTTCTTTTTTTTTATGTCTTGCGCGCGCTTCTTTTTTTCTTCTTCTTCTGCCTCTATTTGATGGCACAAACAATAGCAGCAGCTGATACTTATTCGTTTGCTCTCTTAGTCTTCAGGTCCACAATTATTTGTAACACAATATACAAAAAGAGAACGCAATAGGCGACGTCAACTTCCGATTTCCGTTGATGATGTCAAATGCATTTTATAATATTCGATATATATCTACACAAAAATATAAAAAAAACGAATTTGATAGCAGATGCTGTTAATGGTTATGAGCATGTTTCGTTAAATGAAGTAGTTCATATCTATTTATTCAATTTTCTTCCTATTCAAAAACAAATCTCACTTTACTGACACATGAAAGGAACTGTTCTATATCTTAATACTCAGCTTCTTCTTTTTTCGGCTTTGAAATCATTGAACGCTAGGAGATGTCTGGCATATTTCCGTTCATTTGCGTTAGTTCTGAATAAGCAATAATCGAGCTAATCCCAAGGAACATATACGACAAGATTGATGTCGACTAACCGAATCGAAGAGAGAGAAAGAACAGCAAAAAAAAATGAGAAGAAATAGTTGTGTCATGCAATGAAAGAAAAAAATAATATCGTCGATGATTATACTAGAAAAAAAGTATTTCTCCATGAGTCGTCCATTCTCTTTCACTGCTTTTTTTTTATATATTTTGTTCCGAACAAATACGCACATGAGTTAGCAGCCAGGTAGTTTATCGAAGAGCAGGAAAAAAATTTCTATTTATGTACACATATATATGTTCGTACAATAGTTAGTCAAACAAAAAAAAATTACACGCACAAAAAAAAGACACTTTAGTTCTCCTGTATTTATCGGCGATTGGGTCTAGAATGACGAGAGGACGGCGATGGTGAACGTTCTTCGCGCTTCCGTTTGTGTTGATGATGCTGATGGTGATGATCAGTAGTCATTTTGGACGATAATGGTCGTGCAGAACTTTAGAGAGAAAAAAAAGTATAGAAGAAATGTACTTTGAATGATAACATTGTCAGAAAAAAAAATAATCCTGTCTATAGTAAGCTTTATCGATAGGAAGAATCTAATCCTGGATTAAATGTCATGAAAACTTGCGATGTGACTTTTAAAGGTTTCTTGGCGTATTGTCACAGATAAAAACAAAAAAAACAAAAAACTTACTCAGATTGATTTGAACCTAATGAATTACTTCTTGTTGAAGTTGATCTCTAAAATGAATTAATAAACAAACAAGAGAATCCATTACTTTTCCAATAAAATATTTTCTAAGAATGAAATCGATTATACTAGATCTAATTTAATATTTACCGGCATCATTAGAAAGCGGCAGTTTTGCTTCAGTGTCATATCTCATATTACAAAAAAATAAAAATAAAACGTTGTCCGAATGCTGTTTCTTCTCTTAGGCACTGAACGTTTTTGATTTGATGACAGAATTTCCATTGAAAGAAAACAAACTCTATATGAAGTGCGTGACTGACGTTTTTCTTTCGTTCGTCACCGTGTGATTCGAGACCTCTTTATTCTGTGATTTTTAAGCGGTATCAGAATTCTTTAAAAGAACCGAGAAACAAATAATTGATTTTTTCCAGGCGATTGAGATCACTCATAAAGCAATAAATTTAATGACTTTGTTTTTCTTGTATGATTATGGTTTATAGTAGAAATATTTTCTAACTATATTGGGACTTATATTCGCATTCATTTGCTTAGAATTGAAGGGTTTGATTCCTATTCACAAAAATAAAAATTGGCAGAAATTTCGAATAATTTCTTTGCTTGAAAATGTTTTGCTAATTTAATGGGCTGAAGCGAACTCAAAAGAATATATTTTCATTTACGTAGAAAATGAATAGAAAAACCTAATGGTTCTACTTTGTTATTGTTTTCTAACAGCAGTGCCACAATCTTTAGTTAAGGTAGGAAGAGGTGGGCTCCTAAAATTTCCTATCTAACTATGTTTAATAATGAATTACCTTAGGGCTCAATCGAAAAATATTCTATCTAGTGGGTTGTACTCATTTAGCACAAACAAAAGACAAGGGAAGTACCTGTAATCCTCTGTTGACTATCCTATTTCACTTGTAGAATTTCATTGAGAATATTAAAAAGAAGATCGACTGTATTCAATGCGTGTTCTACGTGAAGGATCGTATGTCCTCTCCATGTGATTCTATCATTATTAGTTTTTTTCTTTGACTATCAGTCATACTAAACATTGATAGGATGTTTCTATTCATCCGATAGGAAAGGTTCACCTACATATTTTCAATTAGAATTCTATCGAAACTTCATTTCTTAAGTCTTCAAATTGATCGCTTATTTTATGCAATTTTCTACACACTCGAACTTTAATGTATTCTTTTCACACTATTTCCTATGATTATTCATAGGTTTGGCACGTCCCTTGCTGTAAATCAATGCGTTCGTTAATACTCTCTTTTGTAACTGTTTAAAGAAAAACAAGAATAGAATCAATCGTGTTGATACCAGTTTGCTAATGTCTATAGTTGTATAAATATGTAAAGCAATACAAATACATCCTTTGCAGGTTTCAAACTCGTACATAAAAATTAATAATAAAAAAAAAGAAAGAAAAGAAATACATGTTAATACTTACATGTCTAGAAGACGAATCGTCGCGACGCGAACTAGTTTCTTGATCTATTTGGAGATAGGTAGATATACAAGCATGAGAATTAGCCACAAATATATATATTTATGTATTGTTTGTAAATGATCTCAGCTAATATCTCCGTAGTGGAGTTATCTTTTTTTCAAATTATTTTCTATATCGTTTCGCGTACGTCAAAGAGAAAGAGTTTTCTGACGTCGCACTCACGTACTTTTCTCGTCGATGCTTCGTTGTTGAGAATATCGTGATGTATTATTTCTTGACGTGTCTGGCTGTTGTTTATTTGACGTTGACGTGCGATTTGGCAGTTTCGATGAATCCGGCGATGAAAAAGTTCTCGATTTTTCGTCAACTTCAATCTATTGTAGAGGTAAAATTCGAGATGATTGTTGATAAAGATAAAAAAATGAGCGAACCTTTTTTAATAGATTTTGTCGATATAATTCAATTTCTTCAGTTAATGAAAGACCATATGCACGTGCACGTCGTCCAGATTCTAATTCATCTGTATATTTCAATACCTGAACCTAAACAAATAGGATTAAAATTAATAATTAAAGCAGCAAAAAGCAAAATGTTTTTTAACGTACTTCAACATCTCGTAATTTTTGACGTCGTTCTTCTGACACATCGGACGTTGATAATGAATCTGGCGCTATTGTATTATCAATACTATGAGTACTTGCTGATGAATTATTTCTAATATTTTCACTTTAATAGTAGAATATGATTAAATATATTGCCATTGGTACAATCTCGTATTCCGCTATTAGAACTCACTCGTTGTTAGGATTATTATTATCGAATGTTGTTCTTGATATGTCAGCTAAATCTTCATATAGACTTTCATTTCCTTTAATAGCTGATTCTTGATCAAAATCCCATTTAGAAATAGTTGCAGCTATTAAATAATGAGAAATGTATTATTTATTTTGTTTTAAGTATTATTTTACCTTGAGTCGCTACTTGTGTTGGATCTACAGATTCCCATTTTGTTGGAACAAAACGAGGTTTAACTGTGGATGATGACGAAGAAACGTCTTCTATTTCTTCATGAAAACGTGGCCGAGCTAAATAAAAAGTAATGAAAGATGACGACAAATAAGACTGATTTTCTGCGCATTGGAATCAAGCTACAGGTGATTCTAAATGTAGATTCTGTTCTCTACAGAAGTCATCGAAATATTTTCAAGGACAAGCAAAAAATCTTTTCCTTTCTGATGAAAGTAAAATGCAATTTTAACATACATTCTCGCTTATTATTCAATGGTCGACCATCGATATCATCATCGACTGATGAACTTAACATTGATATGGGTCTTCCATCAATATCTTCTTCATCGTCATAATCAGCCACAAGTGCTAATGGTCGACTATCAGTTGGTTCATGATTAATTGGTTTACCATCAATATCATCATCGAAAGTTGATTTTTTGACTTCGATTTCCTTTACAAATGAGAAGAAATAGAGAAAATTAAAGAGAAAATAAATATTTCGTTTTTTTTTATACTGGGGCGACTTTTGGTCGTACGAGACCAAGAAATACATTTTGAAGTTTGATAAGAAAATCGCTTGGATAGATTGCCCAAGATTCCCATGCGCGAAAACTACTCATCACTTTTTGCTAAAAGAAATGAAAACAACAATAGTTTTTAATATGGAAGAAAAAACTTCTAATAAATACTTTGAATTGTTCAGCACGAAGTCGTCCATCAATAGATGACCATGCTTGATGAATTTGTTGGAATATATCTGGTAAGCGAACTTCAAATCTAGATTAAAATTTATTATTAGACTTCAGTTAGGTTGCGGTATTTCCATTGTTACCCTCGTCGATAATGTGACGCATTAGTTACTTTCACACTACAATTGTGAAGAATATCTGATATTAGATAAAGTCGAGAAATCTAAAATTAGAAATAACATTATAAATAAAGGATATGATAATCAGATAATGAAAACGAAAATTTAAAAGTTTCGATCTTTCTTTTTAACTTAACGCTATCGGTACAAATTTATAATACTTTCAATCACTTACAGTCGATCGACTGCTATTTGATGTCACATAGTACAACGAAAATTATTACATCCGAATTATATGAACGGTTAATTAGTTTTAGGTATTAAATATTCAGAATGTTATTTCTCATAATAGATGTATAAAATCTCAATAGTCTTGGAAACAATATCAGAATTCGTTTGGGTACTCATATCGTCTACAAACTTAGTGAACTATGAAAATGTTTCCAGGAAATAGTATTTTATTTCAGCAGTTACCAACAATAATGTTCACACATGCTTAGATATTGAAAAGATGACTTCAGTGTGATGAGAACAAGAAACAAGATGAAGTTTACTTATTACTAGTAATTTTGAACTCAGTATTTGCAATTGTTATAATTTCCATGGAAAAAAAACAATTTATTTTCTTATAAACAAGAGCTTACGAATCAGATTTACAGAAAGACGATGGAATTTTTGGCTGATTATTTTGTTATTTACTTTTTTATGTGACGGTGTTTGAAGAATTGAAAGTGATTCTGTTATACAGTCAATGATTTCATCGGCTGCTTCAGCATGATCAATTGCCCACATCATTGCATCACCAATTTTCATTCGTTCTGGCGTTAAGTTTCGTAAAAGATCTTCAAAATGATCTCTTTGTCTATTAAGATAAATAATAATAATAGAAAAAAAAAACATGATAATGTTCGTATTTTACCGATGACTAAGTCGACCTCGTTTATTGCTTGTACTACTTTGATTTATCACGGGTGTAATTATTTCTGGTTTGATAATTGTTTCGATTTCTGTTTCTTTTTTGACTTTTTCAAAAACTTCATCAGGCATACCGGATGTAAATTGTTGTGGTTGTGGTGGTAACCATAGACTACCATTTTTGAATAAACGAAATGCATCTGTTCTCCAGGCAGCTACAGTATCACCCTAATCAATAAAGCAGACAGGCTTTGTGTTTTTTTAATTCTAAAGAAATTATCATTTTACTTGAAGAATCGAATAAAGTTTCCATCGATAATACGTATGAGCAGGACTTTGATTATCGAATAAAAATCTATAAAAAAATCTAAGTAAGATTTAACTTTCTTCTCTGATTTTATTATTACCGAAATTGTGGATTATTCAATTCGCGGTGCATTATCATAGCTTCAAAAAGAGGACCTTCACGAATAACAAATTCAATCATTCGATGAATTAAACATAGTAGAGCTCTTCAATTATACAAAAACAAAGAAGAAGAAGAGTAATCATTTAGTTTATAAACAAGAATTCTAATTCATACAAACCTATCATGAGGAATAATCACTCGGACAGTAGTATGTTCAAGAAACTAGAAAGAACAAAAAGTTTTACTTTAAGATTTTTATTCTTTTTATATTAAAAACAAAATTTACTTTCGAAAGTTCCTGCTCTCGACCAATAATATCTTGTAATTTAGACGCACGATACTTCGTATTTGGTTGAGCATTAAACGGTAAACCAGATGGAGGTGGTGGCATAATCAGTTCTCTCATCGTAGGTGGAATATATACGGGTTGTGGTGGAACATGAACGGCTATAAATATTAATATAAAAGATTTCATTTGTTTCATTTTTGAATTTATTCACCTCGTCCCCAACTCATTCGAACAGAAATGGAATCTAATTGTGAACCATTTAATTCATTCATGGCTCTTTCAGCATCTTTACGACTCATATAAGCTACAAAACCACAATTAGTTCCACGAGATTTTTCTTCATCACTTCTTGGATACATTATTTTAACACTTGCTAATGGCCCATAACGGCCAAATAATTCCATAATACTCGCTTCATTCATCTAAAGAATTTCGCATAGGTAAGTGATAACAAAAATGATTTTATTCTGTTTTTCGTTACCGAACGAGGAATTGTATTAATAAATAAATTTGTTGTATTTGGATCTTCACTTGCATGACGACTTTCATGATGCAGTGAATCCGAATCGACTATAAAAGAATAAAATAGATTCAAATTTCGAAGGAGATTAATATTTTTCTTACGTGCAAGATCCGAATGTACAGAAAGAGATGGTGGTGGTTGAAATCTTGTAGATTTTCCTTCTTTTTCTCTTTGCTTTTGTAAATGACGACGATCGCGTTCTTCTTGAATTCTAAATATACAAAAGAAAAGTTATCAAGAAATTCTAATAGCCGTTTTTTGTTGTTACTTCACCTTTTAAGTTCTTCTTTAAATGATTCTAAATTCGATTTGCGTTTATCACGATCACTTTTTAATTTCTAAATTTAGTAAAATTTTTGATATTTTCCTAAAAACACGTCGAAAAGCATAGAACTTACTGGTTTGTTTTCGGCTGCTGTTGAAAGAGCCGCTGCAGCTGCCAATGCTGCTGCATTACTTCTAGCTATTTGTTGTTGTAAAATATCTTTGCTATGTGATGATTCCTCTTTTTTATTTAACGATGTTGATACTCGATATGCTTTTCCCCGATCACTTGGCGTTTCTTCATGTGAACCTGGATTAAAAACTCCACCTTTGATAAAAGTTTTATTGTTTTTATTTGCTGGTTCTTCGAAATCAGCAACGAATTGTTTCAAAACTTCTTCTGTTTCACTAGCTTCAATTTTAGCACGAAGACCTTCACGTTCTTTACGTGATAAATTTGCGCGAGCGTTAACAGCAACAGCGCCTTGTTCAAATGCACGTAATTTATTTTCACCTAGAGACTATTTTCAAAAGAAAAATTATATATACATATATGCCAAGTAATAGATGGATTTTTCCATGTACCTTCATAGAACCTGGTGCAAGACCATCCGGAGTCGTACCATGCAAAGAACGTACTCGCTGGTCCATTTATTGTTGACTTTCTCACAAGGAGGACGAGGACAAGATATTTGTTGTTTTCTTCTGTGTGTGTGATTGTATTCTATTCGTCGAATAGAACTGACCAATGAAAAGATTGGTTAATGTCAGAGAGAGTCGCGTTTTGTGATTTGATAAGCGTGCTACAATTCTTTTTTGTTTCGCTTCACCTTCAACTGTTTTTTGATAGAAATGTGGAGTTCAACATTTTATTTTTTCCTATCTTTATCAATTTTTGTGGATAAAGGTAAAAATCAATTTATCCATAATTGAAATAAATAAAAATTTATCTTATTTTTTTAAAGTTCAACCCGAAGTTCCACAATTATTCGATTATTTAAATGGATTTTATTTGGATTGTTATGAATGTCATAGTAATCGACCTGGTTGTGGTGAAAAACTTGACTGGATTTTAATGCGCTGGAAACGTTGTGTTGCACCAGGTGGAAGTAAATGTGTTAAAATAATCGAACATTCACCTGATGGTAAATAAGCTATGATCTTATCACTAAAAAAAAAGAAAAATAAACCTATTTGTTTTTGCAATTTCTTTAGGTGAAATTAATTATGTTCGTGGATGTATTAATCAAATTGAAGCTGTTCGACCGGAGATGCCAACTGTCAGAGAAAATGGATGTTGGGCAGCCAGTGATAAATACATCGTATGTATTCGTACGGTTATTAAAGATATATAATCATTTTGCTTTTCTGTTGTAGGGTCTAGCCTATCGTCCTTGGTATGTTAAAACTGATGCACCTATCTACTGTTTTTGTGATGAGCGTGATGGTTGCAATTCAGCTAGACGATTTTTGATAAATTATTCGTTGTTTTTATGCTTATGTTTTATATCAATCTTTGCACATTCCATTATTTAGGATAATATGTTTCTTTTTTGTGTTTGTAAATTTTATACTTATGTGCTCATTCTTATCATACATTCCATTTTTTACCTTGCCGATCGATCTGAGTTTTTCATTTTTTTTAACCGATCGATTTATCGATTATGTTTTGTACAATATGTGAAAAAGAGATATGCGTATGAATTCTCATTAGAGATAGATAATGTTTCGTTTTTTAATGAAATTGAATAAAAAAACTGCTAAATATTTAATGCATTGATTAAAATAAACGATATTCATGATTTTTATTGCATTCTTCGATCAGTGACTAATTACTTACGGTAAGAGCATCGTAAAAAAAATTCATTCTTTCTACAACTGCTAGGAAAAGTTTAATTTGAAAGTAAAATAGAAGCGAAATTTTATTGAGTTCTAAACTGTCAAATTTGATCTATTTCAATGAAAAATAGAATGAATCCAAACGATCAGTTTTAAAAGAAAAGAAAGCTTTTTAAAAATCTTTTTGCACTGTTTTTCAGTTTCAGCCCTTTCTCATGTTAACTAGAAAAAGTATAAAGCTGAAAAAACAAATATCTTCGTATTATAAATGACGACCTACGCCAACTCAGAATAATAGCCGAGCTTTTCTTTTGAACGAACACTAATGCGCTTATACATAAGTTAGCGATGGTTTATTAACGTGCATGCGAAGAAAGTTGAGCAAGTGTACTGCGAAAAAACGCGTACATGAAAAAGTATTTCGTACGTTGTTAAAATTAGGAAAAAAAATGATAAATGAAAAGCCTCATAAAATATAGGTAAGCATAGAACACAACTTGGGAATATTTTTGCAGAGCAATAGCGCTGTTTTATTTCGTTTCATTATTTTTTTCATAGTTCTATAAAAGAGATAGCGATGTTAGCGATATAAAATATGAAAAATTATTGATTTTAGTGCTCGTGTCGGTTAACGAGCTTAAGCTGTACAACATCAATGAAGATATCAATTACTATGGTACAATTTTGATGTCTTAAAAAGTTTATAGCTCCAGTTGTGAAGACAAACAGTGCCAAAATTTGTCCTTACTCAACTGATGTGCAATAACATTTGTACAGTCAGTCCGTTTTGTATATAAAGAGAGCAGATATTGTATGTATGTTCAATACAATTGTATAAAAAGAAGAATTATTTGATACTTCAATACAAAAGTTTTTAATCAACTAATTCGTAAGATTAAAAACCACTGGTATAGCATTGAGATAAAAACAATAAAAAAGATATTTTATCTAGAAACTATGACTGAAGAATCATCGTCGACCAGAGGAGACGCCGCTGCGTCGAGTATATAAACTGAACTAGATCTAGCTTTTAGTATTGATGCTACGACTAGTATGACACGATACATTAGAGCAGCTTTAGATGTATGTATCATTGTGTATGATAAATAGCAAAGATTAAATTTAAAAAAAAAGAAAAAATGTCTGTTTAGAATATGCGAAAAATTATTGAAGACATTATTTTAAGTGAACGATACTCGTTGAATGTTGCTTTGATTGTATATCGCAATCATCCTCCTCAAGAGCATACTTTTGCCATTCAATTGAATGATTTTACAGGTGGTGACGAAACAGCAAAAACGAATGTTACTTCATCTGTTCCTCGTTCAGGTTTGACATTTAAGCTTTACTGTAAAATTTTCTGTAGAATTATATTTAGGCGGAGATTCTCCCGAAGCTATGGCACCTGCATTACATGCAGCTATTCATAACAATTTTCCAGACTGCATGAAGTATTTCATTAAATTATTTTCGTAAACTGTTTTCTGGATTTTTTACAGGTAATCCATCAGGACATGACCTAATCGAGTGTGCTGCTCTACTTGCTGAACGTAGTATAACTTTGTATAAGGTTGGTTGTGAACCAACAGTCAAACCTTATCGTAATATTTTTATGCCGCTTGCTTTTAAAACCGGTGGTCAATATATACCATTGAATAATGCCGGAAATTTATCATCGAGATAATAGTTGGTTCAGCACAAGAAGAAATCTCCTGAGAAAAATTAATAGCACAAGTACGTGAAGAAGTTATGCGTGAAGTTGCACTACGCGGTGGTCCAGTAGATGAAACTGAACTTACTCGTCGCATACATGAAATCATGCATGATGGCGGTATGTCGACAGAGATATTCTTTATTTGAAATTGTGAAAATTATATTTTCATCATCATTTATAGGTGATAAGGCGAATCGGTTGGAAATGAATAATCAAGATGGAACAACAGGCATTCCTGCATTAACAGCTGCTGCCGAACATCTTTCAACGCTTAGAACATTAAAAGAAGTTTGAGAAAAATAGATCAGATACATTGAACCAAAGACTAATCTTACCACTCCAACAGTAGGCAGCTCAATTGATTGCAGTACAACAGTTGCAACAACTCCTTCTATCCTAACAATGGAAGTGCTTGTACTGTCCGTGAGAAAAACGGAATATTTTCGGATCAAATGAAAGCTCTCATAGCCAAACTAACAAGGTTAAAACATTAGCTGCTATTGACTTGCCTAGAGTGAGATATTCGATTTTTCAGTGAATTTTCTCTACAGAACCGGCGTTCCCAGCAATATCATATTTTCGAATTTGAACCTGAAACTTTGTATGCATGAAGGTCTCAAGGAGACTAGCTTATGGAAAAAAAATCAGAAGTTTTGGACAAACCTTCTTCGANCGGTTCTGTAGAGAAAATTCACTGAAAAATCGAATATCTCACTCTAGGCAAGTCAATAGCAGCTAATGTTTTAACCTTGTTAGTTTGGCTATGAGAGCTTTCATTTGATCCGAAAATTCCGTTTTTCTCACGGACAGTACAAGCACCTCCATTGTAAGTCTAAAAACAACTACATTTACCTCTACATCTGTTATGTAAGATTTGAAGTCACATTGCAAAACTTTTCATAATTTACCTTGTTGTCTAGTAAAACAAAACCAAGTAAACGAAAATTATCGACCCAAATGAAATCTATCGCAAAGAAAAAATCTCGACAAGAATCAGTTCGCGGTTATTGACAAAGTGCTCGACTAGTGTTTAATAAACAACATGAGAAAAGATCAACTGAAAAGTCGGAGACTCGTTCGTAAATGTGTTGCTCGTAATAAACTCAATTCAACTCGATAAAGAACTTTTCTTGCACAATATATTCTATTCTATTTATCATGTATTAATTAAATTGAATAAAATGTAAATCATGCCATTTATCAAGTGAAATATGTAAATATACAAGACAGTATAATCATCGTTTGTAAAGAAAAAAAGAGAATGATACTTTTGTATGCAACGCAAAAAGTGTTGATTTTTACTCAAATAATATTTTAGATTTATATTTGTTCTGTTATCATCATCAGTAAACATAGGAACTATCGTCAAAGTTAGAATTCGTTTAAAAAATAATTAATAATATAATATTCGAACCGAAATTACAACAAGGAGATATAATTTTAAGCGTATAGTTTTTACGATATTTTATCCAATGTATTTTTAAATTTCTTCTGAAAATTGCACTTTTTTTTTAAAATCAATTGATCATTAGATTACTATATGTTTATGTACGACAACTATGTTATCATCAAACTACTTGACAGAAATAAAGCATGCTCATAATCATTCGCTTTCAAAGCTATACCAGCTAGGACTTAATTTACTCGTTAGTAAATATAGCACAGTTAGTCAATATAAAAGGGACTAATTGCGAAACCTATTTTAGTGTCAAAAAATTAATGAATTTAGGTAATATATATAGTTTCAACCAGTCAATAGAATTCGTGCAGAGCTCGGTTTCTTTCTGTGATAATCACTCCCATTTGAGTCCCTCCAGTAGAAATAAAAACGCTATTTTTACTCGAGTAAGATACTAAAAATCACATATGGTGCATGCGCTATTAGCCTTCACCAATATAATATTACATAATGTATATTTCGCATGGACTCCTCCATTGTATACATGCATTCGGATATTTTTATGGTTATCATTTTAGTATCGTGTAAAATTTTAAAAGTCATTATTTTCTCTCTAGTTGATTTATTGTTTAAAGACACTTCTTCATATATAAGACAAGAAAAAAAGTGAGAAGCCAAAAAACAAAATAAAAGGAAAAAAACATCACTTTTTCTTTTTAGTAGTATGTTATGGTCGTTTTTTTCCTCTTGTAAAGTTTGAAATACTGTCGCTCAGAAAAAAAAGGCAACAATAAACATACGTAAGAAGAAAAAAGAGAATCTCTGCACACACACATGACAACAAAAATATGTAAAAGAATATGTTCACACTTCAAAAGAAAAGGAAAGAAAAGAAAAACAGGCAGACAAACAATGAAAAAACGAACAACAATAATAATGCAACTAGTACGTATCTGGCGTTTAAAGAATAGAAAAACAAAACGCTAGATAAGGATTATCTGAAGATGAAAAATATGTAAGAAAGATCCGGAAAGCATTCAACTTGTCTGTTCACCTCGACAGATAGGACACCGAGTTGATGTCTAAAGAAACAATGAATATATTCTATTATTAAGCAGTGAAACAACACTACTATCGATTTATTACTTTAAGCCATGGATCAATGCATTCACTATGAAAGAAGTGTTTGCATCGTAAGTGTTTAAGTTTTTCACCACCTATATATTCACTCAAACATACGGCACATTTATCATCATCTTGAATAGTTGTACAAGATTTTGTAAAAATCATTGTAGGTAATCGTTCCAGTTCACTATCTGTTAAGCCGACTACAGGTGTCTCGTCGGGTATAGTCAGATCAAAGAAATCCTAAATAAAAAGTTTTTTTATCGTATAAAAAAAAAGATTCATGAAAACTTACACCGAATTGAATGCTAAATGCAGCTGGTAATGAGAAAATATCATGGCCGGGAGACATCCATGCATAAGCAATTAAGTCGATTGATGCCGTCGGCGGATGATGGTGGTGATGATGATGATAATGCACATGATTATCACTATATGACGCAGCATGCGCATCAATAACATGACTACAATATCAAAGCGTTCAATTTATATTTGCAAAAAAAAATAAAAGATATATTAATTACTTACTGAAGTAAATCAGTAAGAAAAGAATTCGAATGTCGTTGATGCAAATGATGCGCAGGCATCGAAGTTCGATGAAACTGAGGCGCACGTTGTGGTACTGACTCGATTGTTATTCCAGTTCGTTGATGATGATTTTGTTGCTGTGTATAAGAAGAACGAGGTACTGGAATTGGTTGACGACGCGGTAAAGCGACAGGTGGTGTTTCAAGTAATAATGGCCGATGAACAGAAGAATGATAAATAGTACGAGATGGTGCAAGTAGTGAGGGTTGTACGGTATGAGGAAGATGTGGTCCATAAAGAACATTGCTATTATTTATTTCATACGGATGATCAATTCGATTTCGTTGAACTGTTTGTGGACGTGGTTCGAATGGCCGAGAAATAGAAGGGACACTATCGTTGTATGATGTACGAGGCAAAGGATTTGGTTGCGGTTGTACATGCCGATAATTTCTATAAAATTGTAATGATTTAATATTAAAATATTCAATGAATATTTAACAAAAAAGAAACGAAGAACTTACGAATACGGTTGAAAATGATGGTCTGACGATCGACTCTGTGGTTGTTGTGATACATTCTCTTGCAAAGTGTAATTTGTTCGTGCACTATCATCATTGATTTCTTCATGTCTCGAACGTTTTCTTTCATGATGATGATATGTTTGTGAAGATTGAGATGTAGGCGTACTAGCAGCAGACGATCGTTGTCGTTTTGTTTGATTGTTATTACGAGTTGAGCGTTGTATTGTGGCACTATCATCTTCTGACCCATCATCAAACCATGGTGGATGCCGTGTGAATGCAGCAGCAGATGGATTTTCTAAACGATAATGCCGATGATGTGGAGCAGAAGCAGTTGCTGTTGTTGCTGCAGCCTAGAATGAATTATTTTTTAAAATAATTTTAGACAAGAAAAAGAACAATTTTTTTGTTTATTACCGTAATAAGACTTAACGGTAATGAAGGTCTTGTTTGTTCTCGCTCATTTGATTGAGAATAATGAAAATTATATGCTGGAAGTGATTCGTTTGAATGATGAATAATACGGTTATTATTATTATTAATGACTTCTTGATTAGGTAAAACTAATGGAGATTCAAGTGTATGCTCATGAGATGGATATTGAAAATAGGGAAGATTATTTTGTGTTAAAATAGACGAAGGCTCAGAAGATGTAGGTGGTTGATGTGCACAAGATAATGGATCGATTATTGGCCAAGATGAACCATCTGCTGGTGTATCATCAGTCTGGGAAGCTGGATAAGTAACAAAGTCACACATCTGATGGGATAAACGACGACGAGATGGAATTAATGGACGATTTGAATATTGACGAGACATGAATACGTGAATATCAAAGAGTACAAAAAAAATGAATAACCTAAGTAACCTTCCCGATTGCCTCGTTCGATTTAACCAAAAAAAGAAGAAAGGCAATGAGGGAAGATTAAAGAATGCAATGTAATGCACGTGGTATCCATGATTTAGAGTTCAATGACAAACCCATCCAATCATTTTTCAGTTGTTATGCGTCAGGGCAGTGCAAACTAGTGACATCTGAGGATTTTCTATACGCATGCATTTTCTTCTTTTTCTTCAAGTTGCATCAGTTACTCTACGATATTAAAATAAAATCTTGTTAGTAAAATCTATAAGTTCTTCACTCAATAAGTAATAATAGAAAGCAGTGACTTTCTTGATAACAGCGATCTGTAGCATGTGATAAACAGATATATGATAAAGAGACATATAGAACATTGGCCATATTGAGTTTGTTAAAAATAATGAATAAATTTTCATTCGGCAAGTCGAGTATATTGAGACGGTTCATCAGGGGTGCAGAATCTGCCGAAAAAATACAAAATTTCCTCACACGGAAATTTTCTTTTTGGGAAATTTCCCCCACTATAAAATTGAATAATAAAGCAAGGAATTCTCGTTTAAGATGTAGGTATATCCTTAAAAAAATTGTCAATAGTCTATGACTTGTTCTTTCATAATTCTTGCCATTGATGTTCTAAGTTTCTCAAAAACCTACCGACTGTCTAAATATAACAGAAGCAGCTTATATACTTCATGTAAAGATTACAGAAAAAAATTGAATTTA